TGATTTTAGAAAGTTACAAATGGACTAAGGGTCCTGATAAATTTGAAATAAGATTTTGGAATTAGTTATAAAGAATCCTTCCCATGGAAAAATGCTTTAGTTTTGAATTCTTTTAAAAAAAAAGTAAGACTTTAAAAATTGGACGCTAGAGGGAACTAGAAGGAACTAAAGATTACAATTAAAGGAGGAGAACACTCAAACTCAACTTACAAATACAGAATAAAGCAAAATATTTTAGCATTGGACATATTGAAGGATATTTTTCAATAATGGACCCAGAAGTAAATTTTAACAGTATCTGTGTCTATTGATAGTCTGTGTTTAAAATATGTTATGGAAAAGGAACAAGTTTTACCTGACAAGATTGAGACTGATTTGAAAGTGGATTTTAAAATGACAACTACAAGAAAGACATGGAAAGAGATGTTATACTGATATACAAAAGAAACTGGCTGATGTCTCAGTAATTAAAAGGGTTATACAAATAAAAAACCAAGAGAGTGACCTGGATAATTTTCCTATGTTGGATTTACAAAAGAGGCTTGCTAATGCTTTGAAGAATTTTATGAGAAGGGACAAAGAAAAAATGAAAAGAAATCAAGTTCTAGGGTATTATTTGAAGGGATTAAAGATCAAGGTTGTTAGAAGTAAAAGGAAGGATTATAAAGTTGGTTTATTTGATCAAGCTTAAGATAGATATGCTGTTATCGTTGGTAACCCTTAATTAACTTTTGCTGACATCAGGACTGAAATGAAAAGGCTTTAAGGATTTTTTTATAGATAAGAGATGGGGTAAGGAAGAAGAGATCATTTGTTGTACTTTAAGAGAAGGTGATAAGTTACTAAAATTGTCTATACTTGTTGTGAAGAAAGGAGAAGTCTATTTCTTTATACATTTTAAATATTTTTTTTATAAAATTAAAAAAATAAAGTTTAATATGGAAGTGGTTTGCCACTACCTTTCTTTGGGTGTTTTTGTATTAACTTCCTGGTACCCTTTCATCCAAGTATTAACCAGGTTTAAGCATGCTTAGCGTTTTGAGATCAGTCAAAAGGCTGCCAGTTAATTGGGCTCTTGTATTTTTTGAAGTGTATCTTTCTTTTATCATTTTTATTCCCCGGCTTCTGCCACAAAATGGTCACCTTTGGGACACATCTGTGACAAAGGGTCACCTTTCTGGAGTAGAATTTAAGGTACAATATTTAACAAATATAAAATAAACTCTTACCCATGACTTGAACAACTATCACTACACAAGTATTCCTGTACTCACTACTTGGAGATCTAATGAATCTCTTCTAATCAATTTTAGGACTTAAAACAACAGGAAAATCAAAACAAAACTTCTTTCATTCTCTTATTCTTATCCAGAGAAAACAGCCTCCATTTCTCCTTCATGAAACAAAATGAGCATTTTGGTTCAAAGCATTTAGATTATTGTTATAAATTGTACCATTATCAGAGTTGGTCCAAAATTGTATCCTGTTGCACGTATCAATATTAGGTCCAGTCCCATCAACATGAGCACCATCTAGTGTACAGTAGCAATAAAACATCCTCGTGGATTCAAACACATTTACGTTCTCCCTCAAGAATAAGTTAATAAAATGTTAATTATACTGTAGGTGTTTAACTGCCACTGATGGATACCTCAAAGGGATTGTCTCTAATGATTTGTTCTTTTTTTCCTTGAAATATGATGATACGTTAAAATATGAAGCCTCTTCAGACAGCACTAAGCCTATGTGCATTTTGCTTCCAAAGTTGACTTACAACGTCTCTGCAAGCCACATTCTGTCAGCCCTTCAAGGTAGGCAAGGAACAGGAGTGACAGTGGTTTGAAGAAAGTTTTTTTATTCTTGTAGGGTATAAATATAATATCTTGCAGGCCTATCTGAATTTCTCTCTACTACCCCTTATACTAACCAAAATCAAGGCAGGGTGTGATTATAGTTTCTTGCTCACATGGTCTTCTTTCCCAAGAGTGAATAATCTTTTCTGAATCTTCTCCCTCCCCATGTAAAGGTTGATTCATCCCTTCCCTATTTCCAAGGCCAGGTTTACATTTCATCACACATTCTCAACCTCAGATTTTGATCAGCCTTTTTAAAAGTACCTCCAGATTGCAGTATTAAAGTGTAGCCAACAGTCAAGTAAACTGTCACTGTCACTGTGTGAGCGGGTTAGTTTTTGGACCGGGGGTGCATGACGCAGCTAAGATGACAATGGACACAGAAACACAGTGTGGGCTTTTTAATTTTATTTTACTATATAGAACAGGGATTTACATAAGGTATTTGTCACTGGGTGATTAACACAGTGCAGGTGTGAGGTTACTTCCCATGTCTCCCTACCAGTCACTTCCCTCCCCCCACTTCTGCTCCCTCCCCCTTCTCTCTCCATCTCCCTCCTCCCTTTTTCGGCTTGATAAGAGAGAGGGGGGGGGGAAGAAGAAAGGAAAGGACTGGGGTTCCTGGAGTGTGTTCAGCACTGCTTGACTTTCTTTCCAGCTCAGCCAGAGCACTATCTGCTTCTGTGTTGGAGGAAGAACCTGTTTCTAGGTCTTCTGCCCAGGTTCCCCCCACCACCACCAACGAGGGCTTCTGTTCTGGCAGCTGATTGCCCCTCTCTCCTCTCTAGGATCTTGGGCAAAGCTGCCTCCAACTATCTGGATCCCTTCTAGCCCTCCAGGGTTTTGGGTCTCGGGTAGAGCTCATCCCTCTGGGTCTTCTCCTCACACTTGCCCTGCACACCTCACTTCACTTTCCAGCACTTCTCCAGCCTCTTTTCCCCAGCTTTTCCTTCCACTCCAGCAACAAACTTTTACTCTCCATTCCCTCTCTCTTTCTCCAGTTTTGGGTTACTCTGGCAGCATGTCCCACAACAACTGTGGAAGTAGGTGCTCCCCCCCCACCAGGGCTCTAGTCCCCAACAGCTTTATACCTCCCTCTACCAATGGGACTGCTCACTCCAAATCTCCCCACACCAGCCTGGGCTAGCAGCCAGGTCAGCTCATCGGGCCACATGACACCACAGCTGCCCTTCAAGGCCACACATGAGCTTCTTTTTTTCCTTTTCCTTCACTCCATGTCTGGCTCATACCAGCAAAACCACAGCCATGACAGGCCTCAAATTCCATATGCCACAGGCATAAAACACAATCCCTGAATTTCCAGTCTTGATTGCTGACCCCTCCCCAACACACACTTCTTTCCCGATGGCAAGAGATGTGGGGGACAGAGAAAAGGGGCAAGGGTCTTCTGCTGCTTCCTATAGAATGATGATCCCCAGAGGCCTGCTTTTCCTGCTTCCATTCATTTATTTATTTATCTATCGAATTTGTATAGCCGCCCATCTCCCACGAAGTAACTCTGGGCAGTGTACAACAATCAAATAAAAACAACAATTAGAATACAATTGTTATAAAAAATATAAAACAATTAAAAGCAAAATATATTAAAAGCAAAAAATATAAGTCATGGGCATGGAGAGAGTGAAGATATCAATAGCGGAGCCATCTTAAGTTGTTGTTGGTTCCCTGGGACACCCCAAGCCTGGTGACATAACCAGGTCTTGAGGGACTTCTGGAATATTAGCTGGGATGGAGCTAACCTAACTACGGGGGGGGGGGGGGGAGAACATTCCATAAGGTGGGTGCCACAGCAAAGAAGCCTGCCTCCTGGGACCCACCAGATGTAAGTTCCTGGTGGATGGTACTCACAGCATGCCCTTAGATCTAATGGGATGGGCTGATGTAATCAGGGGGAGGCGGTCCCTCAGATAGCATGGTCCCATGCCATGAAGGGCTTTAAAGGTTAAAACCAACACCTTGAATTGGACCCCAAAACAAACTGGCAGCCAATGAAGCTTACAGAGCAGAACTGTGACGTGTGCTGTTCTTGAAGCACACATAATTGCCCACACTGCTGCATTCTGTATCTACTGAAGCTTCTGGAGACTGTTCAAGGGCAGCCCCTTGTAGAGTGCATTACATTAATTCAATATGAAGGTGGCGAGGGCATGAGTGGCCATGAGCAGGGCCTCCCGATCCAGGAACGAGCGCAACCAGCGCACAACAAATGAATGGGATACTGTTTCCTCCATGATTGTTTATCTGGTGCTGTTTCCTGCTAATCTGGGTGTTGGTTGCTGGGGGTATTCTAGGCTGTATCTTTCTGTGGCTTTTGATTGTATCTTTTGAAGATAAGTTTTATTTAGGAAATAACAGAGTGATAAGAAAATCTGAGCTATTGCAGTTTATCTATAGCTGGCAGGTTTTATTGCTCTGATTACAGAGTAAGTACCTGAACTGCACAGGCTAGAGACAGAAGGGAAAGACTGAACCAAGGGAAGGAAATTATGAAAGCTGAGAACATTAGTTTAGACATGCAAAGTAGGTCTTTTAGGCACACAAAGGAGATAGCAAATAAATCATTTACACTTACCAGCATGCAATCAGGTTCAGGGATCAGATCACCCATTCTTAGTTGCTTCAGGGTTTTTCTTGAACTTATGTACCCAGAGCTTGAGCAAGTCCTCTTCTTCTTCTTCCCCACTAAATTAATCAAAGAGTATTTAAATAAAAGAAAACCCAGCCAAGCTAGGTAAACACTAGACAGCAAGATAAAAATGAAAGGTTAAAAATTAAAAGGTTTAAAAGGTGAGAAGAACAAAATTATGACTTGTACTGAACAACTTTTAGCCTGATATTCCACCCCAAACCTCACTTAAAGGATCATCAAAGGACTCTTGTGACAGTAAAATTTAGGGAGGTTAACCACGTGTTCTGTAATAATCTAACCAAACAAATAAACAATCTGTCCAGGTTAGGGTGATCAAAAGACAAAATAGGGGCAAAGATTCAAAAGGGATATAAGCACATGCAGACAGTATCCAAGTCTTGTTTCAACTGGTCTTGTCCTCCACCACTTTCAGTTAAATCCATGTCTAAATCACCCCACTTTGATTGGAAGGAATTAGAAGCATGTTATTTAGTTTGGATTATGTTTTCCTATCAAAGAAACTACTATATTCTGGATGACAGGCACTCCTGATTAGATGCACAAAGTTAGTTCCTGCTTTGCCTGGCTTTTAGGCAAATGTTGAAAAGGTAGAATGGCATTTACATGCCTGATGTGATAATGAGTAGATGACATAGGACATCAATGAAATCTCTTCTGTCCTTGGACATGTGATGGCTCAAAAGCCAGTGAAAGCAGGCTAAAGGAGAAGGTAGAAGAGGAAATTCAAGCTTCCTTGGGACTTGTCTGCTCCACTATTTGTCTGAAGTGCACTTTTTTTTTTTCCCAAGTAGACATCAGTTTCTTTGGTCAATAACTTTGTGCCACAAAAGGCCACAATATGGGGAACAGAATCAGCTCTGGGTCTAAAGAGGCAGTGAAACGATCAAGGGAGCTTGAAAAAAGACTTCAAGAAGATGCAATAAAAGATTCTAGAACAGTCAAATTGCTACTGTTGGGTAAATATAGATGTTTAAGTTTTGATCTTTGATCTGAGCTGATCTGCCGACAGCTGTTAATAGCTGATCTGTCTGATCTGCTTGTTTAAAATCTGGAGGAAGAAGGAAAGATTTTTTAAAAATAATTTGCATATATATTGCAAATCATAAATCTCATATCTAATCCAGTCTTTCTGGAAGAAGCTGACAATGGATTGTAACTTTGTCTTTAAACTGAGAACTGTAATCCAAAATTCTGTGAAGGTCCAATGTGCACATGGATGTCTGAACAAAGAGAGTGTTCCCCAAATACTAATTGCTGGGTTATGTGCTGAAATCTCAGAATCTGTTTGCTCAGACAGAAATGTACACATGTGTCCTAAAATATGTATGCATGTGGGAACCAAGGCAATTGAACTGAGAGATTTGCTTGTTTAGCTTATTTTGCTTTGTTTTGCTCAGAATTGGGGATGTCAATTTGCAACATTTCTTGTGGCTTAACATGTGAATTATTTGATAGGGAAGATTTCCTTTTGGGAGGAAATAAATAGTGAATTATATTAATGAATGAAATATGTGTCTTTATGCGTGTGTCATCTGTCAGTGTTTGAATGATCAATGTATCTCCCCTGACAGGTAAGTATGAATGTTTTAATGATTTATCTGATGAATAGTAGAAATATCAGAAGTCTCTGGCTACTTTTACAATGATGATGACACATTGCAACTTACTAAATCAAGCATCTAACAGTTTGTGTTAAACAGAAACTTTGCTTGTTAAAAATATGACTGTAGTGGAAAAAAATTAGCCCAAGAGATATACATCCTTGTTATCTCTGATGGAGTCACATGTCATTTGTCAAAAGTTTCATTGCTATCACCTGACAGGAGTCACATTCTAGAAATGCTAGCAAATAGAGTCAAGAGAGCAGGGAAGAGATCCAATTGTGTTTTTAACTCATCAGAGCTTTTGAAAAGAGATTATTTCAAGTTTTAGAGTCATGGAATTACAAGGGGAGCTTGGAGGATATTTAATTGAATCCCTCCAAGATCAAAGACTTGATCAAAGAACTCCAGTGGTTGAAAGTTTGCAGTTGCTGTAAATGGTTGTTTCTTTGTCACAGTGCTTTTCATGTTAAGGGTCTCCAAATATTTAGTCAAAAATATCCTCTCCAGTAACCTAAATTAGATCTAGTCTGATCTTTTGGAATTGCAGAGAGTAAACACTTCCAGAAGTGTCCAGAAGATTGGAAGCTTTGTCAAAATGACCAAAGCAGCATTGTACCCTCCCCACACAAACTCTGCCCTTTTTAAATATGTGCGAGATGTCACAGCAGACATACAAAAGGGGCAGAGCTTTTGTCATGACAGTGCAGTGATACTATTTTTGTCATTCACTGCCTCCTCTCCCCAAACCCTGGCTTCATCTTCATCTCCATCTCCATCTTCCATCAGTTTCTAGATTTCCACATTAGAAGGTCTTGTCTCCCAAATGGACCTTAGCATATTAGATGTCTTCCCTTGTTCTGTTTCCAGATTAGAACTTGTCCTGTGTGGTTACAATATCTGCTTGCTTGCTCAGTTCTAACACGGAAGCCATCAATGCATGATGCAACAAGGGAATCGTCCTTTAGCTGGCTTGTTACAGAGTGTGACAAGAGAGAATTTCTAGGCTGAAAGTGATTGGCCTGAGGACATCCAAATGGCTTCTGTGTCTAAATGAGGTCTTGAATTCTTTTTGTATCTGCCAACTCTGAACTGCAAAAGCTGATTGTTGACAAAATTGTCATCCTATATATGGAATTAGCCATTGCCAAAAAATTTGTATATTCACTGGGTTGGTCATTGGTGCTTTCTCACGCATGCATTGTTTGTTTTACTTCAAGGAAAACTTTCCATATGATTGGCTGTTTCTTGTTATTCATTTGCCTAATTTAGGGGCAAATCACTTACGTGAAAATTCAAATTCTAAAGACACACAGATGTTTAGATAGATAAATAGATAAATAAGTATTTAACAGCAAGTCAAGCAGGCTAATTTGACTGGAGGTATGCTTAAAGGAAGAAAGAAATGCAAATTAAGATTTGAAGTGGCTTTTCCCACACTGGCTAAGAGGAAATGTGCTTAGCCAATAAAGATATAGCTTGATTCCGTTCACGTGAGCCTTAGCAAAGCAGCTGGAAAACAATAGGAACCATAAAAAGATCAAGAAGCAGTCACTAAAACCCAAAGAAGTTCAACATTTTCAGATTCAACATCAGGTTTTCATGATTTTTGTTTTGGAAATTGGTATTATATCATCATTTTCACTCCCTAAACTCTCACAATGTCCGATTTCACAGCAGGGGTTGGCAATAAATCTCAGGAAGAGATGCCAACAAAAACTGCCATCTGTGGTTTGATTTGAAAGTGCTCTGACTACAGCAAACTAAATATGTCAGTGTCCTCCATATTTGGATAAGGTGTCCTCTATTCTGGAATGAAAACCAGATCAACTATTTGTCCACCTACTTGTGATAAACCCATAGCTGTCATGAAATTAAACCACCTGCCTAACTCTCCAGAGAGGCCCTTCATACCTGTTGGACTTATTTCAGAGTTGATTCTGGAGTCTGCAAAGCTTCTGGTTTTGGGTGACCCCACATACAAGCATTCACAACCGGTCAACTCTGAGGCAATACAACTGACCACTGCTGTGATCTCTTGTATGACTGTAGGCATTTCTCTTCCCAGACTTCCTCCCCAGTCACAGTTATTCAGAACAGGAGGTCAGATCTTCAACAAGATCACATTCCCATTACTCCTCATTGAGGTCTCTGTGTTCTCATCCATCAGGGCATATATCATAGATGGCTGCAGTCTTATTTATTATTCTGTTTGAATGTCTTTTCTTTTTTCTGTTACAATTTTTTTTTAAAAAAACAATCTATTAAAAAATGATTAGCCTGATCAGTTAATGCATATTCATTCCTGGAGGAGATAAATAGGCACTCAGTGTTAATAAGGCAGAGTAATAAGGGATAACATGTCTTTCTTCCTTGAATCTTTCTCTCAGCATTCTTTTTCAAAAGTCATGTACTTGGTGTCATTGTGGTAGAGTTGCACAGACTATAGGAAGGGGACAGTTTTAGTACTAAAGCTAAATGCATTGCTTTCAGAGAGTGCAGCTGGAGTGCACACGGGCACAAAACTTGTACATACCCTCATACATTTCATGGTGGGAGCAGATGGGGGAATTTGGGAAGTATTCTAATGTTCTTCCTGGATTATTGTTCACTCTTGAAAACTATTTTATTAACTTAGCTTTTGGAAAATGACCCACTGACATTCTATTTAATTTTTCTAGTAAGTACACATGCACATACATGTGCACAACACACATTGTGTTAAGCCATCATTTGGTCTTCTTAAGGTATATCTTTTTCAGCCATCCTTGAGAACATGGTTTTGTTTCGATCTCTACAGACATTCTTTGCCCAATTTAATGACAATTTTGTTCACGTCCATTCGTCATATTTACACTTGGTTTCTTTTTGCAGGAGCTGGAGAATCAGGAAAGAGCACTCTTGTGAAACAAATGAAGTAGGTCTATCAAAATGTGTGTCACTTTTGGTAGAATTCTGTTGTGTTCCCAGCAGTGCAAAAAGAAAAGAAAATGAATCAATATTCTAACGGTGACTTGTGCATTAAAATAGAAAATAACTATGTTTTATAGGTTGGATAATAATCAGATGTATATAGCTCCTAACAACTTGGGGGAGGGGGTTCCAGAGTAGATATTCTAGTTTGTTAGAACTAGAAAACTTAACTAGTTTTGTTGTACAACTGGGTATTGGTTGCATTTCTAGCATATTAGACAAAATCTTCTGTAATGGAACAATACTGTGCTTATGATAAACAGGGAATCCTACATGTTGTATCAGAAAGGTTTCTAACCTAGTTTGTACCTTCTTTATATTACTAAAGAGTGTTATGGAAATGTTAGCTGGCCACTAACATGGTGGGTAGCAAAAGTCAGTATTTACAGGCACATTGAAATTAATGAGAATTGTGATTATTTCTTGAGTATCTGCTTAGAAAAAAGGTCTGCTGGTTTCAAATATATGATGTGTGTATAAGTCTCTTCTTATATACACATGACAAGAAATGAATATACATTGAAAAGCATGATTTTTTTGATATATAAAAGATTAAGAGAATTATTGAAAGATACCAGGGGTGATAGGAGGATTTGAAAAAGAGAATGGCATGACGGAAGGGAAGGGAAGGGAAGGGAAGGGAAGGGAAGGGAAGAGAAGAGAAGAGGAGAGGAGAGAAGAGAAGAGAAGAGAAGAGAAGAGAAGAG